AAAAAAAAAAAAAAAAAAAAAAAAAAGAGTCAGCCTCATCCTCTAAATATTATCAAAAAAGTTTAAGTTCTACGCACTGATGGTGAACAAAATAGTTACACAATCAGGTCACCTATTAACTAATTAAAGTTAAATATCTGATAAACACTAAAAGGTAATCTGGTAAAATTGGTAACTAACACGCTACCACTAGCTTATTAATTTAATAAAATTTGTCAGATATAAGACAATTTTACAACCTGAGAAATAAATAAAGGCAAAGTGAAAGAAATCAACCGGTCAATTAACTATGCTTTACTATCAGTAAACGGAATACAATCCTATGATTTACCGGCAACAGGCATTGGAGGAACAGCAGCGAGTTGTATTGCGGCAAGCGGTGGCTGGCCAAAGGAGAGAGAGTTTGAAGTAATCAAACTGTCTCTGGTGTACTCCGCTTCGCTTTCGTAGTAATCCTTCTTCTGCATCCCAACTACAGTTGATTCCTATAACAGAAAATGCTACCATAAATAGAGCTAGCAATTGCATACAGAGAATCGCTTTGATTGGAAGCGAAGCCATTGCTCTAGCTCACTACTATGAAGGGGACGGCGGAGTTTGGCTTGTTGACGTTAAGTAGTTAACTGACGAAGTATCAGCTGTAGAGTTTGTGAAACGTAAACCGTTTGCTAATGCGACTTATAAATCGCAATCGTCAAACACGACTTACGCGCAATCACAAATGGGGCTTACATATGCCAATCACAGAATGGGACTCAAAGACAGAGCCAATTCTGACTTTGGTGGTTGTAATATTTAACTAAGCATATTTAATTTTTTAGTTAATTAATTTGTGCACTTTTTATTCCTTTGCTTGTGAATATTCACAAATTTATTGATTTATTAACTGTTATATCAGTTAATTACTCATGTATTACATTAAGTTTGTAAAGGTAATCCATATTTGAGAATTATATAGTTTTAAGAAAAGCTAATTTAAGTTATTACTCACAATTTCTTATAAAGGATTAAAATGGAAAAAGGGTAATTTGTTCAAACAGTCGGCTTGCCTAGCTCACACTAGTAGGCGCTATCACGACTCCCGAGAGTGGGAAATGCGGGTCGCGACAAGTACATTGGAATCACAAGTACGAATACGTTCATTTCATAACCTTTCATACCATGTTTGTAATATAATATTTGAAAATACAAAAAAATTAGTTTCACTCGTAATATTTAGTTTTATATTAGTTTGTTTTAATCTAGAGTGATTTTTACATTTTTATAGATACATTGTATTATTTGGTCTTTTTAGCCTAAGTTTAAACCCAAAAAGATATGGTCCAACCTAATTACCCTTAGCCCATTCTTCCCAACCCATTAGCCCACTTAAGTGCAAGATTTAATCCTAGCCATCAATTTCTTTCTAATCTAATGGCCACCATCCCTTCCCACCACCATATAAAATACCCAATTATAGAAACTCTATCCTAAGTTTTCAATTCCTAGACCTACACCCTAAGAGCTGACAACCGCAAGAGACCAAAAAAATAGACGGAGGAGGCAGATTGTTTGTTTGTTCTTGAATTTCACCAAAGAAGCAGCCATTTTCCGATTCCCTTTGTAATTCCATCTTCCCATTAAAGAGATAACTAATCTCAAAAGAACAACAGACTCCTTACGGGAAAAAAAGCTGCGTGCAGCATTCCCAAAAATACAGACACACACACATTTTTATAAGGGGGTACGAAAATAACAGGGGAGGGGATTCATTTTTTTGGGGAGAAGAGCTTCCTTTCTTTTCTTGGATATACACGACACACAAAAAACTCAAAACAAACAACACGCACACACAAGGATGGAGGAAATAAAATTTGGACAGAAATTTTAGTCCAATTTTAGATTCTGATCCATTTATTTTTTGTTTCAAAGAAGAGTTTAGAAGGGTTTCTAGGATTAGCTTAATGGGTATTAGGTATTGGGCTTAAGGAATGGGCTAGAAACTTGGGCATTTATGACTAGTTATGCTTAAAATTAGTTTAATTAACTAAAAATCTATCCATATAGAAATATTATCAAAATATTAATTAGCCCTACTTAAGTAAAAATAATTATTAAAATAAGACTGACCGTTAAAACAAAACTATTTTTTTGTATTTTTTCAAGATTAAAAATGACTACAGAACATTAATGAACCTATTTTTTGTAATTTTTGTTTTTGCAATAAAATAAAAGTAAAAGAGTAAAAATGAGTTGAAATCGCTATATTAGGCCTAAATTAAATATTTATGTGCTAAAATATGAAAAATCTTGGGGAGGGTCAAAAATCACATGTCTACAGCTGCCCCTCTTTGACTGGAAACGCGAAGAGTTTTCAGACAAAGAACGACTAGACATGTTTTTTGACCCGAACCTTATTTGGAGAGACTAAAACTAAGAGAAAAG